CAGAACCGCGTCGCGGGCTTGTGACGTCACGCCGCGCGCGTCGGGCGCAGGTGACGTCTGCTGGTGGTCGGGTGGCGAGCGTTCTCTGCCGCTGTCGCCAGGCGTTCTTTGCCGAGGTCGCCATGGTGTCGGGCGTTCAGCTCCCGCCCGAGATCCAGCTCGCACAGCGACTGGCGGGCAACGAGAAGGTGACCCGGGACCGGGCGGTGAGGAAGCTCCGGAAATACATCACGGCCCGGACTCAGCGGGACGCAGGTCACTCAGGTGGCGGGACGGGTTGCGCCGCGGGGTCGCGAGTGATCGAGGGAGGGGCGGTAGCTGGGGCGCTGCAAGCCGCGTGGGGTCTCACGTGGCAGGGCGGGCCGGACGCGGCCGGCGGGCCTCCCTTCCATTCGCCCCGCCCACTGCCACTCGCCTTCTACCACCCACAGGCGAGCGCTCGGTGCTGCATGCGCTCCTCTCGGGTTGCAGCCACCTTTTGGCTCTTCTGTAACGCCCCTCTCACTGGTTCTTCTGCCCCCCTCGGTTAATCAGATTCCCAGTCCCCAAAAAGGCCAGCTGTTAGCCTTGGGCTGCCAACTTCAGGGTCGATGGTTCAAACCTGCCAATCGCACCATGGTAGAAAAAAACGAAGCTATCCGCTATCTAGCCTGGGAAACCCCATGTCCTGTTTGCTGTCTCAGTCGAACCAAGTCGATGGCAGTGAGTTGTTGTTTTGGCTTAATTTGTAGGGAAGCACAAGGCTGGCGGGTTTGAACTCGTTGGTGCAGAAGACCTGGCTGGCCCGATTCCCTCCCAGGCAGTGGCCCTCCAGCGCAGCCACCACCCCTCGCTCAGTAAAGGCTGCTGCCCTGAATGTGGACCAGGTTTCAGTGGAGCTTTCAGACTGAGAAAGACCTGGAATCCTAATGATAATAAGCCGGTGATCCCCACGCAGTGGATCCCAACGGACCAATCCACAGCCCAGCATGGGATGGCAGGGGCACCCGGTAGCGTTTAGTCCTGCTGTGCATACGGCTGTTCAGAACTGGGGGCCGACTAGACTAGATAGCAGCCAACTCTGACTGCTTGTCACATGAGCGATTTCATGCCTCACTTCCTTATTGGCCAGGAGGAATATGTGGTTTCTTTGAAAATCGGAGGTGTTCACACGTCCAGTGGGAAGGGTGCATTAGTGCTTGGGAATGGACTAGTGCAGCTCAACCATCAGACGCGTGCCCCTCTGAATCTGCTAAGTGTGGCCCCGACCTGCTGCTGCATGGTCGCTTCTCAAAGGTGCGCACTGACTGACTGAGGTGCCTAGAGAAATCCCGGCAGCCACCGAACCAGCAGTTCTGGGTTAGGCTTGCTTGGGGGTGGGGGGGGGTGGGGGGCTCTACTCTGCAGTGGGATCTCCAGCAATAAGACATTCAGGCAGCCACACTTCCCCAGCTTCGTCCGTGGGACTCAAAGGCTGGTGTGTTGAGCCTGGACGTCGTGGTTTGTGTTGCAGGGGGTTTCACGCACGACGAGCTGCTGAAGGTGTGGAAAGGTCTGTTCTACTGCATGTGGATGCAGGACAAGCCGCTCCTCCAGGTGAGAGTGCGGGAGGCAGGAGAAGACGGTCCAGAGCAGGGGGACAGTTGGGCATGCATGTGACCCCACCTTAATGTGGCTAAAGAGCCAGGTGAGGTTTCATGGCTTCAGTGCTTTTGTCCTTTGTGGCCCCTCTGGCCTGTGTTAGAGTGGATCCACCACTTGGCTGGCACCACAGCACCAGGCAGTAGGCGGTACTGGTAAACACACAGGCCATATGTAGTTTGTGCCTGTCGGCCCGCAGAGGAGCACTGAAAAAGTGGAAGCCGAGGACTGGAAGCCTTGTCTCCTAAGACAATGTGTCTCTGACTACATGCTGAGACCGTGGTTCTCCAAGCGTGAAGTGTTGGCCGTGGTACAGCATCGTCTGGGTGGTGAAGATGGGCTTCTTTAAAGTGCAGATGCCCGGCTCTGGCCCATACCATCTAAACTAGAAACTCCCGGAGGGGGGCTCTGGAATCTTGTCCATTCTCCCACAGGCAAGAGGCCATGAGTGTTTGATGGCGCAGTGGGTGACTCCGCAGCTGGTCAGGGCCAGAGTCCCCAGGCTCACTGCTGCTGCTCCCCCTCCTCCTGCCTGATCCCCCTCCTCAGGACTCAGGCTCCGGACAGGCCATGGAGGCAGGTACCACGCTGGCTGTTCACCTCTGTTACCAGCCGGGGTGAAGCTTCTTGGGCTGACAGACCGGGGGCATTGTGCTCTCTGTGACGCTGGCTGTGCAGGCAGCCTAAAGCAGGTGTCTCTGTCAACGTGGGGGCACGTTTTCCCAGGACTGAGCTTTTCCATTGTCTCCCGCACAGGAGGAATTGGGAAGGACCATCGCCCAGCTTATCCATGCCTTTCAGAACGCCGAGGCACGTGAGTACTTTCTGCCATGTTTGCGCTCATTCCTAGAGCTTCCCGACAACAGAGCTTTGCTCTTCTGAAATCGTGCTGAGTCATCGTCACGAGCAGGGGGGGAGAGTGGTAGGCAGCCCACTCGGGAGTTTGTCTACAGTAGGAGCTCATGTGCTCCTGAGGCTTGACTCACCACTCCAAGAGCTGACCCTCGTGTCTAAAGGGCCGCTGCCTTACACTCTGAATAGCACACAAAAAGCCAGTGTACAGTGGCCATGCGCGATGATTGTGTTTCAAAAACACAATGCCGGATGACGTTCCTGCAGTTCATTTCTCAGAACTATTTATTGTTTTTTACCTTGAACAAGACCAGTAGTTCCCTGACCCTGCATGCTTGTTGGAGTCATCGGGGCGCCTCCAGAACACTGAGGTCTAGATGTTGGTCCAGCCACATCCGTCTCTGGGGACAAGGCCTGAGCCCCAGCATCTTAAACCGCTCTCTCCTTTAAGGGTGGGGGAGGCAGCCAGGCCAGTGCCTGGCGGAGCCCTCACTGAGTCAGTGGGCATTAGTCCCATGATAGAGGCAAGCCGGCACATAGGTGAGTGCACGGGAGTCAGAATGGCCATGGGCTCCAGTTGAGGGAGCCCCTCGGGGAGATGGCTGGCACGGTGGCAGCCGCAGTGGGCTCGGGCCCGAGAGCAGGTGTGAGGGTGGCACAGCGGCAGGCAGGGCTTCGCGCTGTTGCTGGCCGATTATGCACACACAGCTGGACCCTTCTCGGAGTTATCGACCCTAAATTGTGCTTTCTGAGAACGTAGAGTCTTTCCAGTGTTCAGCCAAGTGCCAGGTCCCGAGCATTCCCTCAGCAGCAGGGGTGGCTTAGCGAGCACAGGCCCATGCCTCTCGGGGCTGCTGGACAGACCCTTTGCCAGCTACGAAGCCCTACAGTGGGCAGAGACGCCCTCGTGGGTGGTGTGTTGTTGTGGGGCATTCATGCCGGTTTTTTTCCCCCACATGTCTGCTGGGCAGGTTCTCTGAATAGCCTGTGTGCATTTCTGTGGTGGGGTCAGCACCCACAGCATGGTCTGCTACTCTGGGAGGCAGCACGGCTGGGGAATAAGGTGTCAGGAGCCCGGGGCTGGGGCCAAGCCTCTTGTGCCACTCTGTGCACTCACACTGCTCCTGCTGTGGAGCCAGGGAGGTCAGAGCTCACCCATGTCGCAGCGCTGTCCTTGCTGAGCTCGCTAGCCCTGGTAGGTAGCTCCACTTCCTAGCCCTGTACACTCTGGACTGGGGAGACCCGGGGCTGTACACCAGGTTCCTTCTGCTCTGGCCTGTGGCCTGCGGTCGGCGTCTCCCGGCATTCATTGGCCCCTTTTTCCCTAGAGCACCTGTTCATCCAGACGTTTTGGCAGACCATGAACCGGGAGTGGATTGGGATCGACAGGCTGCGCCTGGACAAGTACTATCTGGTAAGCTGTTGCCTGCGACTCCTCCAGCTCCCTCATTCTGAGCGTCCACCTTCCTGGTGCTGCCAGTGGAGCCGAGTGGGCAGGACCCTGGGCTCTTTGTAACCGTGGTTTGGCCTCTGACCTTAGAGGTTGAGGCTCCAGAGGTGTGATCCCATAGGGGCTGAGGAAGGGACATGTTTATTGGGGCACAGTGACCTTTGATCCTGTAGTGCTTGCCCCCTCTGTGAAGCATACTGCGGGGGCCCTGTTCTCTCTCCTATCCTTGAGCATGAACACAAACTCAGAGAACCCCACGCTGTCTAGTCGATTCCCACACTTAGCCACCTTACATAGGGTTTAGTTCCCAGAATGGCCTCACCGGTCTCCTGTGGAGCAGCAGGTGGGTTTGCACTGCCCACTTTGAGGTCAGCAGTGTGCCAGGGCTATGTGAGGTCGGTGAGGGCTCCAGTTTGGTAGGCACAGTAGTTTGTTCTCTTCCATATTGTCGTGAGAGTGGTGTTTACTGTGGCCAGCGGTTGCTACGGGGCCGCACAGCAGTGCCTTGTCCTGCCCTCACTGTGGACAGCGCTGTAGTTGATTCCTTGATCTGCCTGTCTGACTCAGCCTCCAGCTCAGACCTGGGCTGTGGTTACGTGGGCACCAGGAGTGTGCCTCCCAGCGTGGACACCGAGTAGTCAGCTTAAGGAGGAAGGCCGAAGTGACTGAGGGCCTGGGGTGGGAGAGGGCGGGGCCAGGCCTGCGCTCTTCCTTAATCCACACTCGCAGCACGAGTCTTGAGGAGCAGTCAGCGCCCTCTGCCTGAGCAGAGCTGCCGGCCCTGTGTGCAGTGGAGTCTGTTGCTTTTACGGTCAGTTTCCTCCCTGTGTGACCAGACCCGGGTGGCTCTAGAGAACGTGATGGGGAACTGGCAGCCCGGGCTCTCGGAGCCTCCCTGGAGGGCTCCTCTGGTATGTGTTCCTGCGCAGGGCGGGGAAAGCACTTCAGACTGTTTCAAGGGGAGGGGAGGCTTGATTTGACTCTTAAAAAAAAAAAGCTTTATTGGGACATAATCCACATATCGTGCAATTCAGTAGTTAAAGTATACCAAGAAAAGTTCTATCGTCATCACCACAATCAATTTTAGAAGGTTTTTTTCATTCTTATACTCATTGTTATTAGCTCCCCATGTCCTCCCGGCCTCCCTGCCATACCCCCAAGAAACCTCCAATCCAGTGTCTGTCTCTAGATTGGCCCATCCTGGATTTCGATACCGAAAACCCCAGAAACAGAGACCCAAACCTAACAGCAAAGTAGAGAAACACCTCACTTGAAAAGAAAGCAGAAAATGGTGAAAACTAGAACAACTTCAAAATGGGTCACAAAGGAGCTCAAATGATAAGGTGTCACAGTTTAACATAGCTTCATCTACCCTAATCCCCTCTCCAGTGCTCTCCTCATGACAGCAAGGCTGTTCACACCCGGGTCCATGGTCAGAGTCCAGCCAGAGTCTTGACCCACCTCTGTTTCCCATTCGCTTTTTTTTTTTTTTTAACTTTTAAATGGGTCAAGTGGGGGATCATATAAGATGTTACATATTAACCTAACTATATCTACTATAGTCATCTCTACAAGACTATGATAATAAGGCTGTTCATACCCCTTGGCTATGGTTAGAGGGGATTCACTGGAGGCTTAGTCTGTGTGTAGAACCAGCAAATGGACTTTGGGCTCTATCATATATAGCCTTCTGCAAACTGGGTGTTCACAATTGAAGCTCTTATTCCATTCCCTCCTTTGGATTTGGAGTTTATTATTTACAATCTTTGAATCACACTGGCAGGTTTGTTTCTTCCATGTGGGCTTAGTTGATGCCTCCTGGATGGCTGCTTGTTTTAAGACCCCAGACTCTATTCTTTCTGATAGCTGGGCACCATCTAGTTCCTTCACCACACTTTACAATAGTGCTCAGTGCTCTTCAGGAGGGTGGGTATCAAGCATGGCCGTGTCGTTGAACTAAATGTTAGGGTTAGAGTTAGATTGGGGCTAGAATTAAGTACGATTTCAGGTTCTGGTTTAACTTTGAGGCTGAGGGAGAGCCTTCGTTGCATGACAAGGGGCCACAGAGGCAATAAAATGGGTCCAGAAAGCTTCTGGCTGGGCCAGGGGCTCCGACTTTGATTAGGCAGTCTGAGCTCCCTGGGGCGGGGCAGTCCAGGCTGGGGCTCATGGTGCTGCGACGCAGCCCGTGGGCCTGGCTTCCTGCTGCTCTCAGAAAGCTGGGCAGCTGAACTTGGAAGCACAGTGTGTTTTCCAGGCAGAGGCTGCCATCATGCCTGCCATCATGGTGTCAGCCCAGCCAGCTCTCTGGAGGGCCACTCAGGGCACGCAGAGGTGACAGGCTCTGGCTGTGTGTCCAGGCATGCCCGTACTTAGGGGGCCAGGGGCTTGAGGGGGCCTGGATCATGCTGCTAACTTCTCTCCCTTTGTGTCGTTTGCAGCTCATGCGGATGGTCCTGAACGAGTCCCTGAGGGCCCTGCAGATGCGTGATTGGGAGGAAAGGTCAGTGCCTTGGGTCAGGCTGCGGCTCATGGCCACACACTCACCTATCGCTTACCCAGAGGCAGGGACCAGGCCTTCTCTTCCAACTCTTTGTCATAAAGACGGACATTAGTGAAAAAAACAAAACAAGGACATTAGAGAAGGACCGTCCCACCCCCATCATCCCCAATGGCGTTTGTTTTCCTCTTAAACTTTCTATTGTGAATTCGGTGAATGGTTACAGTCACCATTCATACACAGGACACGTTTAGATGCCAGCTTCACGTCCTCGTGCAAGCTACACCACTAGCTTCCAGCCCGGGACATTTCGGGGCTTCATCCGGCCTCCTTGCTCCCAAAGGCTGAGAGTCCATGAAGTGCAATTTGTTTGTAAGCGTTTACTTAGAATCGAGGTGGACGCCCCCCCCCATCCCGTGGCGTGGTGCTGCTGCCTCCCCTCCTCTCCTGCATGCATGTGTGTGCGTGCACACGTGCATGACCCGAGTGACCTCGTGAGAAAGGCAGGTGACTCGGGCGGCCTTTTTTCCTGACCATACAACCCCAGCACCCCATCCCTGCCATGTGCGACATGCTCTTTTATTTTGGCAGTTGAGAGAGTGAGCACTTAGCTTAGGAAGAACATATTTTGAATTGACTTGTCCTTCAATGATAAAGTGTACATTAAATCCTCCTTATGTCGCCACCTCCCCCAGCCCCCCCCCCCCCCGCCACTGCACATATGTGTGAATACTAGAACTCCTATGCACTGTCCAAGTAGCTCTCGGACTAGAGAGTGAAGTTTGCGGCCCAAGCTTGTAAGGCCTCCCTGGGCTTCTGGATCACCGTGTTGACACTTTTGCTCTGGCCCCTAAACCCCCTGTCAGCTAAGAGGAGCCAGCAGAAGGGACTGCAGTCACCTAACATTGTGGGTCTACGCTCGGAATGCTGGGCTTCACATGGGGCCCGCCTAGGGCAGCAGTGGCAATGATTGGCCTGTGTTACTCTGAGCCCCTGCGGCTCCTGCCCATGGCATTGCCGCAGCCAGTGGCCCCACCCTGACCTACAGGAAGTCACTGTCCAGGTGGTTGTGTGTTAGTTACCCTGTATGTGTGTCTCCATCGTCACTGTGACTCGTGACTCAGTGCTAAGGTCACCTGAGGGACATCCTGGTGCACCACTGCTGCTGGACGCTTCCCCCTCTTGCGCAGGCGCATGCACAGGCACACATGAGGGCTTTATTGTGTCCGACAGTGGCCAAGTCAACCCGGCGCTTGCAGTAGGCTGCTGACCCCAGTATCATCCTCTGGGCCCCAGAGCTGCCCTTGTCTGCCAGCTCTCAAAGCCCCATGCTGTACAGGGAGCCCCTATCCAGGGAGCAGATCTGTGAGCTCGGGACTGTGTTGCCTATGGCAGCACCCAGGTTTGGCGGGGTGGGGGGGGGTTCTTGGGAGCTGTGTCCCATCTGCCTGCTGTACTGGCCTTGTCTCTCCTCAGTCACAGTGCCCAGCTATTGAAGCTGCTGATGACCGAGATCCTGCACCCGGACAGCCAGGCCCCCCATGGGGTGAAGAACCACTTCACCGAGATATTCCTGGAGGAGTTGGCCAAAGTGGGCGCAAAGCAGGTAAGGGGGTGGGGCAGTGCCAGGTGGCCACAGGCTTGTCACTGGTGTACCTCGGGGTTGGGCTGGGGAGCGAACCCACAGAGCCAGGGCCGGGCGACAGGCCCTCTCCTGGTGTGCGTCACAGGAGCCCAAGCTCTTCTTCCTGTGCCCGCAGCTGACTGCGGACCAGAACCTCAAGTTCATCGACCCCTTCTGCAAAATTGCTGCCCGGACCAAGAAGTAAGTAGCGAGTGCTTCTCCTAGGCTGACCCCTCTCCACCCAGGTCTTTGGCGGGATGGCCTTCTGAGACCGCCGTCCGCAGAGATGGAATAACCTAGCAAGGCCGCTGGGCTGGAGGGGCAGGCCCCGGCCAGGCCCGGGCACATCTGCCTGCCTGCCTGCCTGCCTCTTCTGTCTGAGATTCATTCTAATGACTGCCTGCTCTCTGCCCTTCCACCCTCCAGCACCCGCGATTTACACAGCATCACTCGGGGGATCTTTGAGACCATTGTGGAGCAGGCCCCGTTTGCCATTGAAGAGCTAATGAACGAGCTGGACGAGCAAGAAGGGGAGCCGGAGGTGGCCGAGCTGTCGGATGATGGTGGCTTGTTGGAGGAGAGTGACTTGGAGGAGGAGGAGGAGGCAGGTGTGCCGACTAGGAAACTGACTGAAGTTCAGCGGAGAGGTGAGGCTCCACCCAGGAAACGGGCCTGCCCCCCTACCTGGCTAAGCCGGTGTAGCCCTGTTCCTGCTCTTGGCCCCAAATCTGTTCTCAGCCTAGCAGGAAGGCCAGCTTTAAACCATGCCCTGGGTCCTAACTCCTCCCATTCCCCTCTGTGCTTCCCTTGGCCCCTCTCACACCCCCACCCCCTTTGCCCAGTTGCTCCCCTGGCTGGGTGTGCTCCTGCCCCTGGGGCTTCTCCACACGGGTCTGCCCTGCTCTCCCCTCTCCTCAGCCTCAGCTCATTGCCACTCTCAGGGTCGGCCAACTCCACTGCTTCCTGTACGTGCACAGCTTGCTGCTCTGATGCGGCTGCTCAGCTGGGTGACAGCACAGGACCCTGTCGCTGTCCTTGCCTGTCTTTCCTTGACAGACTCCTGGGAGCTTCCTCCCCCATGGGCCTGACCCAGGCCCACCCCACAGCTGCACCTGGCTGCTGCTTCTGGGCAGTCCTCCCTCCCTCCTGACCCAGTCTTCAAGAGGGCCTGGCTGACATGCCTTTTCTCTGCTCCCCCAGCCCCCAGTACCTGCCCGTCAGTCCTAGCCACCTTGCAGTGTGCCCCTACTTTGATGACGCTGGGAGTCCTGGTCCCCCACCCCGGGGCTGGCCTGGGTGTGGGTCTTGGGGCTGGCTTACGGGTTCTGTCTGTCCCAGGATCCCTGCAGAAGTCTGAGGAGGGCGAGGACGAGGACGGTGCTGGCTCTGTGCTGCAGGTTGGTGGGCTGGGGAGGGGCAGCCCCACGGGAGGGCGGTGGGCTGCTAGCTCGGAGACACTAGCCCGAAGGACAGGCTGGCTGAGGGGTAGGGCCCCGGGCAGACAGACCTGCGCTCCACTGCTTTCAGCCCTTTCCCTCAGGCACCTCCCCTCCAGACCCACTCAGGTCAGCCTGTCACAAGCTGCCCTCTTCTGGGCAGTAAGGAAGGGGGTGGGCCCCAAGTAGTACTTGCCCCTCAGGTAGCAACGTAGGCAAACTAGGACGGGCGGGGTCTGTCTGGTTGACGGTTGGTTCCCGCCCTGTGGCCTCAAGTGCCGGGTTCCTGAAGGCCAGCACTGCTTCCGTACCAGAAGACACGCATTGGACTTCTAAGACGTGGACCCAAAGCGGTCTCCTAGCATATCCCACCCCGCCCAACTCACTGCCATCAAGTCGATGCCGAGTCTTGGCGACTCGCTAGAACTGCTCCTCTGAGCCCCGAGTCGAAGCTTTGTCTTTCTCCCACGGCATGCCCGGTGGCTTCCCACTTCTGCCCTTGCGGCTAGCCCTCCGGTGCGGTACCACTGCCCACCAGCAGCATATTCGCAGTTCTTAAGTACTGGTGTTTGGGTGGGGTGTAAACTCAGCATGTGAGGCTGCCTTCTTGGTGGGCACCGCTGGTGGGCAGCGCTGCCTGGTCTCCAGTGGGCAGAGCCCAGTGCAGGCTGGGAGGGGTACTGGTCATCGGTCACCGGTGGAAGTGACTGTCTGGTGACCTGTGTGATATCTCCGTCGAAACAGTTTGACTATGAGGCGGTTGCTAACAGACTCTTCGAAATGGCCAGTCGCCAGAAAACCCCTTCTCTGAACAGGAAGCGTCTCTACAAAGTGGTCCGCAAGTAAGCATTTTCCAGAAGGTGCAGGCCCTGCCCTCATTGGCTGCCCCAGTCCCAGACTGAGGCTCAAGGAGGTCTGGGAGCTGCCCCTGGGGTTGGACTTGGGATTTGAGCACCTTGTGGCGGGAAGCCATGGAACTGCATGCTGAGTGTGTGAGTGAGTGAGTGTATTGGGCGGTTTCCGAGCCTGACGGTGCTGATGATGCCTTTTCTTTCCCTGCAGGCTGCAGGCCCTCTCTGCAGGTGAGCACTAGGTGTGGGTGCCGAGTGGGAAACTGGTATCTTGAGGGTGGAGGGTCCCAGGACTGCTTCCCAGGCCCCAGTGCTCTCTGAAGAGGCCTCGTGGGGCAGGCCCAGGGCCCCGTGTGGGCAGTAGTTGGGTGAGGACACAGTGTGTCAGGAGACGCACGGGTCCTGCTGCTTCTCTGCTGAAGAGGCGTGTGCAGCTGGGTGTCCACCCTGCCCCTGCCCCCGGGGTGACCCTGGATGTGAGGGCTGGGTTTGCTGAGTGGTTGGGGGCTCCTCAGACGGGTCGTCTTCTCGGGGCACTGTCCCACGAGGTGGGTGCCCCAGACCTCCATCAGGTTTCCTGCTATTTGGTCAGGACGTGTGTGGTTTGCAGTGAATGTTCCTAGCTCCACTACCTAGATGCCACCGTTCCCTCTGTGGTGCCCATCTCTGAGTCCCTCCCATCCTCATGGGGTTCAGAGTAAGCTGCACACCTCAGCGCCCTGGGCACCTCGTGCGCGCCCTCCCCCTCCCCAGCAGTGTGTGCAGCTTGTTGGCAGGGACCCACCCAAGTCCTGATGCCCATGTGCTGCCCCAGCCCCACCCCCCATGGGACGGAGACCCTGTCCATGCCCACTACCCAGAGGCCCCTCCCCAGGAAAGGTGTGTGTGTGTGGGGGGGGGTTCCCCATGCCCAGGGCCCGGCTTCTCCAGGTATCGAGGGCCGGTGTGTGGGAGTACGGCTCTGACCTGCTGGTTTCCGCTGTGGGGTGTCGGATTGAGGGCATGATGGAAGAGGACTTTCTTGTGGGAGGGCAGCTTGCCTGGTGCCATGGAAACCTTGATGTCCTGTGTGTGTGCCCCAGGCATCTTCCCTGAGGATGACGTCCCTGAGAAGGTCTATGCCTACCGGCATGAAGGGAGACTGGAGAGGCAGAGGAAGAAGCGCTTGCTGAAATCGCAGGTGAAGAAGAAAGGTATGTCCCGCGGGCTTGGCATGCGGGAGTACTCAGTGACTGAGCCCCCCGCTGTCCTGGCTCCCTGTGGCACCCTGCCCTGGTCCCTTACACTGTTGCCTGCATGGGCTGTGTCCTGCTGCCTTAGGCCTGGGGGAGCATGGGCCTCTGCCCCAGCCTCCCCACGGCTCCCACTGTCTGCGGACACTGGCTGTCCAGTCCACGCGGCCATTGCCAGTCAGTGGCCTCTGTATCTAGCCCTGTGTGTCCCTGATGCGAGCCCCTGCCACCTGGTCCCTGTCCTCTTCTCTGCTGTTCTCAGGCGGGTGGCCGTCCTTGCCCCTCTTTGGCCATGTGAGTGGTTGAGAGAGGATTGGCCATTCGTGTGCTTGTTCACTAGGCTGTGCCCTCCACAGACCCTCTGCCACCCAGTGCTGCCTCGGTGACCCTCAGGAATGGGAATGCGGGGCTGCCGGAGGCTGCTTTAGGGGAGGGTGGGGGTGGAGCAGCAAGAGCTGGCTTCCCCAAGTGTGACCCTTCCCATGTTCCCCCTGCTCTGGGTGGCTCCCTCCGAGGGGCTCCGGGACCACCTCCCCCTCAGGCAGCCCGCTCAGCAGTGCCATGAGAGCCTCGTCTTCTGCTCTCTGCGTGGCACCTGGCCTGTGGGCACTGGCACTGGACTGTGTGCACCCGTGCCCTGCTCTCTGCCCTCCCTTCTCCAGCTGTCCTCGTGGGAGTCTTTTCCCCCAGCCCACCTCCTGTGTGCAGAGCCAGAGCCAGTAGGGATTTTGCACCTGCGCATGCCACTCGCTCACCACGTGCTCCCCGTGCTGTTTTCCTAGGGAAGGGCGGGAAAGAGGAGAGTCCCGCTCCGGGCTCCAGAACTGAGAGGAGGAAGACGCGGAGGAGGGGCCGGAGGAGTAACCCTGACGTGCAGCCTGAGGGAGCCCCTGGGGGTCAGCGAGCTCGCAGCAGGAAGAGGGGGAAGCCCAGTGCCAGGACCACAGAGGCGGCCAGCGTTGTTTCCCCGGAACCAAAGAAGAAGAAGCAACGGGTGCATGAGAGCCAGGAGTGACGCCTGCCTGACAGGCTCCAGGCTGAGTGCACTGAGCCCCAGGTGGTACTTGAACTTACTGGGACAGGAAGGGTCGGGCCCAGAGGGATTGCAGCCGCATAGGGGCCCGCCCATGCCTTGGAAACCCTTGCTTTCCCTGATAGAGCCACAGGCCACAGACTGAAGTTCTCTGTAGGGAACGGTTATGTGCCAGGGGGGTGGGGTACTCACACAATGAAGTGACACGCAGCTCTCGGTAGTGAAGGTGAGTTCTGGCGTGTGTGGAGAAGGCTCTGGGGAGGGTGAGGACGGGGGCCGGCTCCTGAGCAGGCTTAGGTAATGCCTTACCCATGGTTTTGTGGAAATAAGTATGCTTCTGTGGTGGCCTAGTGGTTATGCTTGGGGGCCAATTCACTAGGTCTGCAGTTCAAAACTAGCAGCTGCTCCACAGGAGGAAGACAGGACTTTCTACTCCCATAAAGCGCTGGAGTCTTGGAAAGTACCCTGGCCTAGAGGGCTGCTGTGAATGAGTTTGGTTTTGGAGTTTCTGTGTCTAAAAACCATCAGGAAGAGTCCCCAGGCTTGGACGGTTACCTGGGCAGGGCCGTGCTCGCTTTCTGCTTCGTGAGCTTGTGTTTACATTTTTGTTTTTTAATAAAAATTTACTTTTTCAGTAGCGTTAACATTTATTATGACCCAGCGGCACAGAGTGACGGGCCCAGGGGAGAGGTTTAGAACTGAGCCACCGGGTAGTCAGTGGTAAGCTTTCTGGTAGCCACGTGGAAAAGAGCCAACCAACGAATGATGTGGAACACCCCGTCTGTCCCAAGTATTGTAATGTGCAATAATGGAAGACGTGTCAGGCCTTTCCTTATTTCCACACTTACGTCTTTGAAATCCAGCCCACCCCACCTCCGGGTCTTACACACAATCCATATGTAGACCTTAAACTGACTGTTGATGCCACATTATTCCACATAGAATTGAAGACGTACCGATCAGTAAATGAGCATCTGTTTTCTAACCGGAATGAGAAATCCATCCCTCAGTCTCGCTCGCGCGCGTTTCAGGGCTTGTGTTGATGTACAGGTGTGGATTAGAACACACTCCTGTTGGCCACGACCAGAGGGTCCCCAGGCCATAGTGGGCAGATCAGAAAGGCTTCTCCTGGTCCAGTACATGCCACTAGCAGCCCTGGGAGGAGCCCAGGTGCCTTCCTGGGGCCAAGGTCTGGGTGAACGCAGCCATCGTCCTCATCTGTGCATTCATTGTGTTTGCAGGTTGCCAGTGTGTCTCATTAGGGGGCCACCTCGGACGGCCCAGCCACTTGGGCTTTGATGGGGGCAGTGCTGTGCGTGTGAAACCCTGGGACTTGGGAAGATGAGGTTTCAGTCGGAAGCCTGGAACAGGCAGGAGGGACACCTGAGGGATAGTTGGGATATGAGGTGCCAGGCCCTGCCCATGAGGGGCACTGTCAGGCATGGGGAGTCAGGACCCATTGTACCCATGCTAGGACAGGCCTGGAACCAGCCCCCTCTGGCTCTGCTTTATGGGACCCCGAGAAGTCCCTGTCTCATCAGGGGTGGGGCCCAGCCCAGTGCTGTCCAGTTCTCGGGTCATGATGCCCTGGGGAAGGTATGCAGTATCTTGTGTGTTCCCCCCCCCGGCCCCCCCAATCTCCTCCACCCCTCATGCCCCGGTGTACAGGAACCTGCTGCCCGTGTCTGTCGTGCAGATGACAGGAGGCTGGGGCTTGGAGGGGCAGGAATGGACATTATAGCCTGGCCCTCATGCCCCATCATGGCTACCTGGTACAGGACACTGGAGTAACCAGGCAGTGTCCCTAAATTGGATTTCCTCTCGGTGGTCCAGGTTCTCATAGAAAGATGTAACTGCTTCACACCACCATCACACCCTGACCCGACGGCCTCCACTTTACCCTCACTGCCCCCTGCACAGCTGGTGTGGCCGACCTCTGTTCCAGACACAGCTGGCTCTGCCCCAAGGGAGGGAGGCCTTTCCTCCCTAGTCAGCCCCCATGTCTGCTCCTGTCCCCAGTGTGGCTCTGGGCCACCTCCTTTCCTGGTGTGTCATTCCCTCCCCCATCTCACTAACTGTCCTGAGCTCGCTGCAGCCCTGGCAGGCTCGGCCTCTCCTGCAAGTGGCGCCCTCTCTTGTATCCAGTACAAAGGCACCCTCTGTCTGCTCACAGAGGTGCTGTCTGCCAGCTGCCTCTCCTCTTCGTGGTTGATCAGACGCTTGTGGGGAGGTGTTGGTAATAGCCAGGATATTCATTATTCATGGTTCCTGGGTCAGTGTGGCTCCCGGCTTCCTGTCTCAGCCCGGACTGCAGTCCACTCCTGTCCCTTGTTCAGCTCTCGGGTTGCCCCAGTTCATCCAGCAAGAGGCCTTTCCAGCTGGCCTCTGTTCTACTGTCTGCCCTTCCGTCCAGCAGCATGTCCTTGTTTGGGGCTTCTCTTGTCCTCTTGCTGCCCCAGGCTGGGGTCAGCCCCATCTCCCAGGAGCCCTGCTTCCTCCTAACAGAGGGCACGTGTAGTGCATTGGATCAATTTTACGTGCCCTTTCTAGCCGTGCTAGGCTGGGTTTCACTTATAAAGGTATATAGAGAGATTTAAGTAAGGAAAAGTGACTCCCACAGTTGTAGGAGTGGGTAAGCCCGACGTGGTTCAAGTCCATGGGTCAGATGATAAGCTGGAGGGTCTTCCACAGCCACGCAGCTTCAGGGGCCATGGACTCGGGTAAAGGAAGATGAAGCAGGACATCCAGAGGCTGGTGGGTGTCAGCAGGTCAGGCTTGTGGCCGCAGAGTCAAATGAACCAAGGCTTTTGCCTCAAGAACCAGAGATGGGTGCAGCAGGTGCGGATGCAGACCAGCAAGTAGGAGGAAGCTCACTACCAACCAAACCCAATTCACTGCCGTCAAGTCAGTCCTGGTCCGTCAAGAGCCTGAAGGACGAGAGACCTGTCCCGTTGAGTTTCTGAGACGGGAACTTGATGGGAGTAGAAAGGCCCATCTTTGTCCCGCAGAGCTGCTGCCCACCTTCAGGAGCACAGCCCACTGAGTGGCCACGACGCCCTCAGGGCTCCCGGAGCCCACCACAGCGGCTACTTAGGCGACGCCCCCAAGGAGATATTAGCAGGGTCATAACCCGAGTTACTATTGGCTCACAGTAGATCCCCTCATGGAGGTGATTACATTATGCTATATCACATGATTGGGGGCGGGGCGGGGTGGGGGTGGGGGGGAGGCCTCGGCTACTAAACTGAGAGTCCTGGCCCAGCCAAATTCACAGGAAACTTACTACCCTCCTGGTGAGGGTCAGATGCCTAGGTCACTGACCCACGGAGAACTGCCCCTGTGGGTGTCCGAGAGGGTGACCCTGTCGGGGGACAGCAAGACCGTTCTTCTGCGATGTGGTTTTGAACTGTTGACCTCACTGAGTCGTCAGAGGTCATCGCTTCACTTCTGCCCATAGGGACCCAGTGCACAGCGAGACAGCACTGTCCTCACAACTGTTCCCACGCCTGAGCCCCTGGTTGGATGGGACTCTGCAAATAAGATTCTTGAGGCCTACTAAGGGGTTGGACAGTTTGCCAATCATGCAGATAAGGTTGATGGAACCCCCTCCGGGGTGGGACTATGAAGAGCAGTGTTAGGATGCCAGTGAGGGCCTTTGTCAGTTTTGTCATCCTGCAAGGCTTAAAATGAGGCATCTGCCAGGTGGAAGTGCGTGGAGAGCTGGGGACAGAGGGGGGTTGATTACTACCAAAAAGAAGAGATGGGACTGGACCCAGGATCTCTGTGCTGGGAACCAGCTAGACCTCGGAGCCAGCGAGCTGTAGCACTGGAGATGGTGAGAGGCAGAAACAGCGGCAGAGCCATGGCGGCAGCCCCAGGAGACAAGCAGTAGATGGCATGGCAGGCCCCCAGCCCACGGAAGGAAGCCCGGTGCTTTCAAACAGATGCTCACTTGTGGAGAGAGGCCTCCTGGGCACTTTTGGTGGGGCTAAATTTTGGTGCCCCAGCAGAGGCCTGGCCCTCCCAAGAAGACCGAGGGGGTCGAGGTTCAGAGAGGTGGCCTGCCGGCAAGCACAATAGAAAAGAGGCTGCCCTGATTGAACTGTGTCCCAAGCCATGTCTGATCCTGTTAACTTCTCTAGTCAGCTCTCTAATTCTGAGTGTGGTCTGTGAGGTGTGGGTGGGTGGCCAGTGCAATGAATGTGGGAAGTTGGCAGAGGAGTAGAGTTAAGACAGTAAAAAGTTTGGAGAACCCTCCACGGTCAGCCGTGAGCTGTTGCTGATGGCAATTCTCCCTCCCCCTTGTTAGGTACAGGGGGTCAGACACCACTGCCACCCCAGTTTCCTTTTATACAAGAGACAATCACTTCAATAGTTTACTTATAAAGTTGTTCTCCAAGCTTTATAACATAAAGTAGCAACAAATCAATGTGCTTAGTGAGGCAAAAATTAAATGTCAAATTATTTCACATAAAAAATGACTACTGAGATTTTACAAAGTCCAGTTTTCTCTAGGTCCACTTTTCTTAATTGAACTTATTTAGTAAAACTATTGACTTCAGTTTTTTTCTACCAGCTTTTATAGGTCCCCCCCCCCCAAATTTGTTTATTATGATTCATAAGTTTATTTGTCGTTTTTGGAGTTTAGTCTAACACTGCCATGAAAATTGTTTTAAGACTGACTGTCTTTTCCATGAACATTACCTATTCTCCACAGTTTATATAAAAGTCTTATCAAACGTTGTCTTGGGATAAGGCATAAAGGGAGATTAGGCATTTCCCTTCCAGACAAAATTGTCTGTTTTATTTAGATTCAGCAAAAGTTGATCTTTACTCAGTTGGCTAATGCATAACCATTCTACTCTGAAATAAGATGGTTTTCATGTTACCAGTTGGCTTTAATGGACATTTAAAAGTCTTGAGTTGTAGCTCTAGGACGAGTCAATACCTACCAAAGATGACTTCTGGAAGGTGTTACTGTAGTGTACAGTATTAAGCAAATGTCAAAACATGTAAAAATGTAGGCAAAACAAAGCTGGTTGTTTTGTTTCTGAAGAAAAAACTGGTCAGTCTCTATAAAAATGGGAGTCGGTATAGCTGCCCCCATTCTTTCTTTTTTTTTTTCATTCTAACTTTCTAACAGAAAATATGAACCAAAGCATAAAACTGGACTGTTTTCAGGGTGGGTGCTTATATTTGAAATTCATTGACTGCTTGAGTGGGGTCCGTACATTCCTAAGCTACATGTTGTCTCAGAATCTACACATTAAAAGGAGGATTAAATAACATATTCTGGTTCCTATCAGAAAGTTCCCTCCCCGCTCAAGGCTGAGGACCCTCAGAAGGAAGCCCACCCCGGCCGCACAGGATCTTTCTCTTTGTTCCCAAACAACTGGGTGGCTCCACACACAAGGAGGCTCAAAAAGACAAAGGTGGCCACACTGCTATCTGCTTGTGCACACCCATCTTTAGAGTGATGTTAGGGACCAGGATCTGCCATGGTGCTTACTAACATGGATGTTAATGCTCCAGGCCCTCTGAGTGGCCAGGTTATCTGTTACATCTCCCTGTCATCCATCTCATCCATCCCTCTGTCCATCCACCCACCCATTTATCTATCTAGAACATGATGAG